CTCTGGCGGCGAAGGTGAACAGCCTAACCAAGGAATACGCCTTATTGAGGAATTTTGCCATGCACTCAGAGCGTCACAAAACTTGTGCTCTGCCTAATAGAAATCCTCCAAATCACACGTTGGGAGCCATGCTTCTCGTGATCTTTTATATATTCTTTTTCCTTCTACACATGTTCGCTCTCTTCTGACTCTCAAGTCTCCCTCGCTCTTTTTGATTTAATTTTCTCTCTCTCCCCAGTAAAACTTCTTCCACCCACTTTAAATTTTATTTCTTTATTTTATTTTCGTATGCCCTCACACACTCTCCCTCCGTCACTCTCTCTATCTCTTCTTCTTCTTCTTCTTCTTCTTTTTAATTTTATTTAATCTCTCATTTAAATAATAGTGTTGCTTTTCCAAATCAAAAATTCTCAAATAATTATATAAAAATTTAAATTTTAAAATATTTTGGATACATAATTCATACTACTCGTGTCTTTAACATAAGAGCTCATTTGACTTTTATTTTAATCATAAATATAAGATCTTAATCCACTTTGTTTCTCATATTTATCCATTTTTTTAAGGTAATTATTGAAATAATGATAGTTCTAATTAATGCACTTGACTAGCAATGATATTTTACGAAAGACAATATCAATTCGTTACAAATAACCAACTTAACTAATTTTCTTAATATACTTAAATTAGTTAATCAATTCTTATATTAAAGATCGGAGTAGTATTTTACAACCCAACCTTTAAATTCTTTCTCAACTTTTTTTTGTTGAGTAAGAAAGAATTTATTAGAAACGACAAATACAAACTGCGTTCACAGATAGTACAACAAACAATATATCTAGAGAAGAAGGAGCACGTTAAATATTATGAGCATTCTTTATGTGCGTACACCAGGAGAAAGCTTCGTTCATCAAACGGTAGGCCTCCATATGTTCACTACAGCTTTCTCAACTTTTTAAAATTCTCTTCTTTGATGGTTTATTTTATGTTGACATGTAAAAACTATTTGACAAAAAGAGGGCATGTGAAAATTATAAGCAGACTTTGATAAAGGGAATCAAACTAAATAAAATATCCAGTTAGGCCTTTTTTAACTTCAATGACAAACATTTGCTTATAATAACTTATGTTTATAAAAGTATTCTTGTTTTTCTTCATTTTTTTGTGAGATCGCTGGTGCATTAATGTTTTAATCAAGCTTTTGTTTATATAAGTATTTTTTTTTCTTATTTTTTGATTAAATTGCTGACACAATTATATTTTGCTAAAAAGTCAACTGAACCATTTCAATGTTTTTATTAATACTACTTTATAACTCCAGTTAAAGCTTAAAACACAGTGCTATTACTTAAATTATAGCGTAAATAAAATTAAAAATGAAGAGAGAAGGTGAGTGTGTGCAAAAATAATATATACTCCTCTTGTTCTATTTATAGGACAGAGAGAGAAGACTTCTTTTGGTCCTATTTATAGGGTACTGAAAGAAATTTTTTGTATGATGTACAATTTTAACCCTCATTTATTATTATGTTGACTTTGTTTACATAAGGTATAATGTATATTAAATAAAGATAAAGTTAAAAAGTTATTAAATTTTAAATGAGAATTAATAAAGTTTAATACTTTTCTTGGTCTGTGTAAAACATGTTAGAAATGTTTTATAAATAGGATTAGATGAGAGAACTTAGAGTGGGTAGAGGAAGTTTTATTAGGAAGAGAGAGAAAATTAAATAAAAAAGACAAATCGTGCAGAAGGAAAAAAGATCCATAAGAGCCTGCAACAATCATGGGTCCCACCGTGTGATTTGGAGGATTTCTATTAGTCTGAGCACAAGTTACGTGGCACTTCCAGTGCATGTAAGAAGTCCTCCGTATCAGAACCTATGTAATTAGATGTCTCATTAGTTTCGGAACCCTATTATCACTATTCAATCAATAATAATGCAGTCCTCCGCTTCTTGGACATAATTATTAAATTGATTTTACTCTTAATATAAAATTTATTTATTAATTTTTTTCTAAATTATCCCTATAAATACTCCATCAACCATAATCAAATAGAAAAAGGAAGGAAGATATTAAGAAAGATGATTATGGTGTTTTAAAAAAGCATATCATATATCTCATAATTAATTAACATACCTAATTTTTTTAATCTAATTAAATTAGTTAAATAGATTTTATATTAAGAACTGGAGAAGTATTTAGTTTACATCGATTTTATATTAATAGAAGTATTTAGTTTACATCGATTTTATATTAATATATTTCTTCAACCACAGAATATATTCACACACGCGCGCACACATATAATATTATTATTAGTTTCCCTCTGCACAATCCCGATTATATTTCACATTTTGAATTTTTATTTCCTTATATTAATCGTCACACTACTGAATGTCTGAAACAGCGCTTACTTAGAAATATTTTATTCAAAATATGTGTTAACTTTGGTACCATGATATATGCATAATGACCAAATATAATAGAAACCACTCGTATTGTTTTGTCTGATATTGGATCTTCTCGATCTGATGGTCATCATGAGAGCCTTCAGTTCTTCACATGTGTACATGAGACTAACATAAAACTGGCGAGCGTTTGTCTTTGAAAAAGTCAAATTCTTGAAAAAGAGCCCACACGAAGAAAGGTTGTTTAATTTGATTGAAGATGTCCCAATTAGTTGAGCTTTTGTATATTTTTATGTTGTTTTCGAGTAGATGAAAACAATTATTTCAATCTTCTCAGAACTTGATAAAAACTGTAAATCATATATATAGAAATAATGAAGACATAGTCTATATGGACCTTTTTCGCAGTCCTGCTGGGTTCATAATTAATATATAAATATATATATTTATACATCCACACCACAAGACAACAAAACATGTATGCTTTGATTATTTCAATATATGGCTGAATAGGGTTCAACTTGAAAAGGCAAGTAGATGCCCGTGATTGAAGATGTCCCAATTAGTTGAGCTTTTGTATATTTTTATGATGTTTTCGAGTCCAGTCAAAGTCGTTTAATTGGAAGACCAAAATAAAGCCAATTAAATTGAAAAATATGTGTGTGTGTGTGTGTGTGTATATATATTTATTTTTGTATACATTACTACGTACGTACTGTGTTTACTTTGACTGGTCAAAGCAAACGTCCAGATTCTCCTTCGTCACGTATGATAAAAGTATTTTGAAAATGAACTAATGTATCAACTAAGATTAAATTTCTGTCTAAGGATCTCAAGCTCTAATTCTGATGTACCACCTCCGTTCCTAAATATAAGAGCTAGTTAACTAATTTGAGAAGATTAAGAAAATAAGTTGAGTTAATTATTTATAATAAACAAGTGTTGCTTTTTTTAAAATATCCTTACTGGTCAAGCGTATTGGCTAGAACTATCATTATTAGAAGAACTATCTTGAAAAAAATAAATAAATATGATAAATAAAGTGGATTGGGCTCTTATATTTAGGACCAAAATAAAAGTCAAATGAGGTGATTAAATATATTTATTCTCTTATACAATTAATGGAGCTAGTATTAACTTTAATTAAAATATATTTCAAATACTCTACAAATTCTTTACATATTTAATGATAAATATATATATAACCATCTTTTAACTAATTTTTTATTCACATGAGGTGGTTAAATCATATTTAATTTATATTATGGATTGGATGAGTAAAAAGTTCCCCCCCCCCTTTTTTCAAATATGCTCTCATTCCTTGGAAAGTGCTATTATAATGATTTTACCTGTATTTAAAGGTACTCCTTCTCATTCTAAACACAAAACCTATTAAATCAGTTCACATATATTAAGAAAAATATGGGTTAAGTTGTTAATTTGCAATCATTATGTAAAAAATACGCATAACTTTTACCTAAAACCCTTCTGATCTGTCTAGTCATTTAAATTTAAGGGTAAAGTTTTTCCCATAGACAGAGATTATCATTAGAAGATACAGAACAAAATGAGTAAGAAAAATTAGAAAACAATATTTAAAATGTCATATTTAGACCCAAAAGACATCCATTAATTAGGTCAAGTAACCAAATGTATTTTAGAAAAACTTCATCAATTACACCTAACTTAATTAATATTTATATGTAGGAACAAAATAAATCTAAAATTTGAGGATGGAGTATTCCCTCCATTTCTTTTTATAAAAAACAACTACCAAAATCACGTGGTTCAAAATATTAGTTAAATTTAGCTAAAATAAAAAAATTATGTAAAATATGTACATATTTTTTTTAATTATATCATTATTTGTAAAGACAGAAGTGAAAGATAATGAGTTAAAATTTATTAAAGAGAAATAATAAGTGACATATAATTAACAAGGACAAAAGTGAAGGCTAGTTAAAATTTTAGACAAAAAAAATTTGTTCCTTATTTTTAGAGATATCATTACAAGAGAGATTGTTTTCTATAAAAACGACACGGACGGAGTAATAATTACAAAAAAAAAAATACTCATAATGAGAGGCAGCCGTTGATCCTTATTCCTATCAGATTTTTTGGGCCATTCCCCTTCAATCATGCCGCCTGACTTTTAATATCTTTGTTTTCGTTATCATGCGAGAAAGAAAAGTCAGAAGTCAATGCGCAAGAAACATTATGGGATAGGTATTCTAAATACTATTTCTGGTTCTAATTATAAGACCTAGTTAACTAATTTGAAAAAATTAAAAAAATAAGTTAAGTTAGTTATTTGTAATAAATAGGCGTTGTCTTTTTAAAATATCTTTGCTAATCAAGTTTATTAGCTAGAACTACCATTGTTAAAGGGACTATTTTGAAAAATAATGCATAAATATAAGAGACAAAGTGGATTGGAATCTTATAATTAGGATCAAAATAAAAATCAAACAAAGTCTTATATTAAGGATCGGAGGTAGTATATTCATTGGAGTGTGTCTGTCTATATATACACACACATAAGAGATGGAGATTGAAGAAGAGTATATTATTATATATCTGCAAGGCGATGAAGGTAGGAAGAATGGTGCAATTGTGGATGTTGCAGGTGATAGTTTCGAATCTGATAATCCTTGAAGCTTCCGAAGCATTGGACCCCACGCAAGGATTCATCCATGTTGCTTTGGACAGCTCTAATTTTAAGAAGTGCATAATATATGAAGGTAGGAAGAATGGTGCGATTATGGATATTGCAATTAGTGATAGTTGTTTTTTTTTTTTGGGTAAAAACAAGTGATAGTTTTGAATCTGATAATCCTTGAAGCTTCCGAAGCAGCGGATCCCACACACGGATTCATCCCTGTGGCTTTGGACAGCTCTAATTTTCACGTGCAAAAGCCCTACGATGTCCCTGTTAACCAGCGATATAGCTTCTCCAATGGAGTTCACAAGTTATGTGTCTACTCCACAGACAAGCCTCACACCACCGACAGCCCCACTCTACCTCGGACTGAGATCCGAATAGCAGTAAGCTCCATCATCTCAATTTTATGTTCCCCTTCTCTCTCTTCTCTATCTAGATGAGCACTGATATATATATATATATAAACACTATTTTCGGTTCTTAATATAAGAGGTAGTTGACTAATTTGAGTAGCTGAGTTAATTATTTGTAATAATTAGGTGTTATCTTTTCTAAAATACCATTGCTAATCATATATTAGCTAAAACTACCATTTGATTGAACTTTTAATATGCGCAACAAATATAAGACTACTTTGAAAAACTATGGATAAATATGAGAGATAAAGTAGATTGGGGTCTTATATTTAAGACCAAATTAAAAGTCAAACTAGTTCTTATGTTAAATACTGGAGATAGTATGACGAATTGGATATTCTTTCTGAGGTCGAAAATTGTTTGTTGAGGGAATCTTCTGGAATATTAAAGAATTTGTGGAACACTTGCTCTGTAAGAGATTTTTTTTGGGGGGGGGGGGTGTAACTGAGAAGGAGAGATATTGATCAGTCTTAAAATTCTGTGATGGTATTATATTGTAATATGAAATTGATAGAGTATTACTCCTCCTGTTCTTAATTTGTTTTTAGTACAAGCTACATGGCTAATTTGTAATATCAAATTGATAGAGTATTACTTCTCCTGTTCTTAATTTGTTTTTAGTAGAAGCTACATGGCTAATTTGGATAAATTATGAAAAATAAAATAGATTGAAGTATGTTATATATTTAGGATCAAAACTAACTCCTATATTAAATACGGGAGGGAGTATATGGTTTTGTTTTTCTTTTAGTAGTGTTATTTTATGATTAGTAAAGGTATTTTAGTAAAAACAATATATATTTGTTACAAATAAGTAACTTAACTAATATTGTTAATATACTCAAATTAACTAACTAGCTTTTATATTAAAAATCGAAAATAATATCGTTTCATAAATTAGCTAAATAATTTTAGATAAAATAATAAATATAAAAGATACTCCCTTTGGTCCTAGATATAGGACCGATTTTGTAGTGTAATTTACACTACAAAATGGGTCTTATATTTAAAACCGGAGGAGTATATAAAATAAACTAAATTAGTATATTTAGGGTCAAATCTAACCTTTAAAGTCCCAACTAGCTTCTATATTAGAGACTGAAGGGAGTATATGGTTTTCTTTTCTTTCATTTTTGTTGTTGTGAATATTAAAGTAAAATACTTTTCAAAGTTGCAAGTATTTAAAAGGGGAAATGACTCAAAACAGTATCGGTAGTCAAAGTGTCATGATGTCTAACTGATATATAAATGTTTTGGCAAATTTGAAGGGACATGATTACACATCTGGGGTGTGGCAATTTGAAGGGTATGGTTACGTACCAAATGGAACAAGTGGGGTATGCATCATGCAAGTGTTCGGAGCAAGGCATCCTCATGCCACGACCCTTCAGCTTAGGGTTTATGACGCTTCTCTCATATCTTACATGTCCCCTGTCCTGCTTCAAAACATGTACGACAGATGGTTCAGACTCAACGCCATCGTTGACGTGGCCGCCAACAATGTTAAGGTTTACATCGATGGAGTCCTCAAATACACTGGAGGTGGTCGGGGACAGGCCACTCACTACTTCAAGTTTGGGGTTTTTACACAGAATGATCCTTCCCATTACATGGAATCTCGTTGGAAGGATATAAAACTTTTCAGAAAGTAGAGTTCTCTTCTGGAATGCCTTGTTCTGATAATAATAATAATAATAATAATATACAATGACTCTCTTTCAATAAATAATAATAATTTGGATAGGCAATAATATATGACCAATGCAACTTCTTTATATTGATTTTAGTCGGCAAATATATTTGACTTATATGTTACAAGTTTGTGTGTTTGAATTTTGTTATCAGAATAAAGATCTCTCCTCAGTTACGTAGGTAATCAGTAATTATCTTTGTGAATGTTGGTCCCCTGAGATTCAACTCGTCAGCTAAGTTTTCGTTTTCGTTAAAGGAAAAAAAAATTCCATAATAAAGTTAGGGATAAGATCGCGAGAGAAATGGTCAGGGCAGACAGGGATAAATATAAATGTTTTGATGAGTTTTATTGAATGTTCCTTCCTCTATACTATACTATACATACATACATATATATATATATATATTTCCCTTATACTATATGTGTGTGTATATAAATATGTATGTTGTAAGCTTTTTAATTATGATGATGAATTATTTCAATTTTTTTAAAAAAATTAGACTTCGACATTCGACAGACTAAGATGTATATTTCTTTCTTTTCGAATATAGTATATGATGGATTTCTATTTTGTATATATATTGAAGATTCATACCTTGACAAATATTTAAAACGGAAAAAATTAATTACTCAAATAATGACCAAAGTAAGGGATCGGACTCGCAAATTTTGCTCGCCATATTGTCATCACTTACTGATAAGAAACAAATATTTAGTGGGGAATTATTAAGAGAAACGATTATGATCAGGCGCGTGGCGACCAGGGGTACAGTCGCGTGCCTAGCGGGACACAATAAGCTTCACAATGAAGCTCATTCATGATTTACCTTAACCGATGCAAGTTTATCTTAAAAGGTTTTAGTTTAAAATTACTCGGAAAGTGTGAAATGAAGTAATGTCGCTTTTTATCATTAAAAAATTATTACCTCTGATTCTTAATATAAGAATTTGTTTGACTTTTATTTTAGTTCTAAATAAAAACTTCAATCCACTTTATCTCTCATGTTTATCTATTTTTTTAAAGTAGTCCTTATGATAATGATAGTTTTAACCAATACACTTGATTAGCAAAGAGATTTTCAAAAAGACAACACCTATTTATTATAAATAATTAATATAACTAATTTTTTAATTTACTTAAATTAATTAATTAACTCTTATATTAAAGATCAAGGGTAGTATTAATAGTCAATATCTTAGTGTTAGTTTTTTAAAAACTTCCATATCAACATTAAACTCAAAATGACTTCGGGAACAACATTATTTTTTAACCAAACACTACAAGAAATTGTAAAAGTAGCAGCGGAACCTTTCTAGCGGTTAAAGAAAACCGCTAGAAATTTCAGATATTTCTAGCGGTTCCTACAAAAACCGCTGCAAAATACAGACGGTTTGACCATTAAACGCACATTTCTAGCGGTTACCCCCTAACCGCTAGAAAATTAGAGCTAGAAAACTCCCCGGGCTTTGGCGGGAACTTGGCGCCAAATTTGTAGCGTTTACTTTCTAGCGGTTCAGGCTAATAAACCGCTAGACACTGAAAAATTCTAGCGGTTGATGCATGAAGCGCTAGAAATTTTTTTCATTCCCCGAGGAGTTTAGAAATTTCTAGCGGTTCCCGGCCGAACCGCTAGAGATTTCTAGCGGTTCACGGCCGAACCGCTAGAAATCTCTAGCGGTTCGGCCGTGAACCGCTAGAAATTCCCAACGGTCATATGACCGTTGGGAATTTCTAGCGGTTAGGCACAAACCGCTAGAAATTTCTAGCGGTTTTTGTGCCTAACCGCTAGAAAGTTTCGGTCTATATATACCCCCCCCACACTCTCACTTCTTCAATCGTTCTGGAAGCGAAGCTCTGCTGAATTTTCTTCACAAACATATTTGAGTTCTGATTCAGTTGCAGATCCTTATTTTCAGGTAAAAATAGTAATTTATTGATAAATAATTTTTATTTTATGTTTTATTTTATTAATTTATTATGTTATAGCTTATAAATTATTTTTTTTATTTCATTTATAAATAATTACTATTTGTTGTTATTAGGATGCCTCGTCGACATGGGAAAGACCCAGTTGATCCTGAGAGAGCTGGACCCAGTGAGGTTCATCATGATGCTGATGAGCCATTCCCAGCATTCATGACTACGATTGAGCGAGGAGGATATCCTCAGTTTTATGGAGCAGGATGGTATTGAGCGGACTGAGGAGGCTCATTTTATGGGGATGAGCAACCCCATGCTGATGCTGCTGACGAGGAGGAGGAGGAGGAGGAGCAGCAGGATCAGGGGAATGAGTATCCCCAGGCTGCACAGCGTCCTGCTCCGAGACGTCAGGCTGGTTATGAGGTGGAATTTGTCGGTAAGTATTTATTTTAACTTTTTAAAGTTTTGATCAGTATTTAATTTATATGAAATTATATTAATTTATTGATATATAATTTATTTCTTAATTAAATTTTGTAGACACTGAGGGGAACAGGTCCTATCGGAGGCTGACAGCCAGAGAGCTGTCTATGATGACGGGCGGACGAGTGGTTGTGCCGCTCAATGAGTGGGCCAACCGACGAAGAAAGGTGGCCAGTTGTACAACAAGTACGTGCGCCTCCTTGGTCCACAGTGGACGCTGTTCCCATCTACGTGGCAGGACTGGAAGAAGATCACCTCAGACAAGAAGCAGCAAGGCTGGGAAATAATGAAGGTAATATAAAATGTTATTTATAATTTTTTTTAATTTAAATAAATGATTATATATTTTGTTTTCAAATAATTTAATTGTTTGATTATAATTTTTTATTTATTTAATTTGTTTGTTATTTATAATATTTTTAAAAGTAGTTAAATGATATATATTTTTATTTAAATTATTTAAAAGTAGTTAATGAAAATAATTTGTTATTGATTTCATAATTTATTACTTATAATAATTTTAAATTTAGTTGAGTAAAAATATTTTTTTATTTAAATTACTTAATTGTTTAATTAATTATTAAACTTTGATTAATTTTTATATTTTATTTATAATATGTTAAATTAGTTAAAAATAATTATTTGTTTTTGTAATTATTGAAATTGCTTAATTATTTGTTTATAATTTGTTATTTAGTTAATTTATTATTTTTAATCATAGAGTAAATTTATTCTGGGGGAGGAGTGAGGGCTGACACGATCAAGAGGCTGGGGATGGCATGGAAGAACAGGAGGGCCGACCTGTGGAGGAGGAGGAGAAAGAAGGTGACGGGACGAGGCCCTCCAGGAGATACTGGCAGATGTACCTGGTGGAGTCCCGGACCAAGACTGGTCTACTTACGTCTATTTTAGGATGACGGCTGACCAGATGGTATGATAATATTGTATTAATTATAATTTCTTTATTTTTTATCCGACTGACTCATTTTTTAATTGAATTTTTTACATTTTGGTCAGGTTCTTTCTAGGAGAAATGCTAGGAGCGTCAGGCATCGACGATACGTCATAGGGCTGGATCCAGGAGCTTTGCGATCACTTATGACGAGATTGTGAGTACTTGAAATAAATTTATAAATATGTAGATGTATTTAATTTGTAACTAATTATTTCTTT